TGATGACTGTGCGGCCATTGACGCCCATGCGGGCGGGGGCGCTGATGGCGCTTCTGCCTGGGGCGCCAACTGCCACTCGCCGTATAAGACTACCCCCCCTTAAGAGGCCAACTGGCAGCGCCCCAGCTGCTCTGCCCCAGGGTCCACAACAAAAGCCTGGTCTGCTGAGGGTAGGGGGGCGCACTAGCTGCGCCCCCCCCAGCAGACCAGGGACACGGGGAGCAAAGCCTCAGAGGCGTGGGACCCCTCCGCCTCCCCGGCTTTGCTCCAGGTGTCCCTGGTCTGCTGGAGACAGTCCCCAGCAGCCCAGGGACACCCGGAGCTGCTTTTCTCGCCCCGGAGGTCGAGGTGGCGGGACCGCTGTGCTCTGGGCGGTCCCGCTGCTTGCAAGCTCCGGGGCGAGAAAGCCCCGTTTGTAAGTGCGGAAGTCGGATCCGCGTAACTCGGGGACTGCCTGTAATGTAATATATGCCATGTGCCAACAAAGCCCCTCTGCCATCAGCAGCCCAGGGACACCCGGAGCTGCTTTTCTCGCCCCGGAGGTCGAGGTGGCGGGACCGCTGTGCTCTGGGCGGTCCCGCTGCTTGCAAGCTCCGGGGCGAGAAAGCCCCGTTTGTAAGTGCGGAAGTCGGATCCGCGTAACTCGGGGACTGCCTGTAATGTAATATATGCCATGTGCCAACAAAGCCCCTCTGCCATGTACATCAGACAAACCAGACTGTCTCTTGGCAAAAGAATAAATGGATACAAATCAGACATTAAAAATGGCAACATAAAAAACCAGAAGGGGAGCACTTCAACCTTCCTGGACACAGTTTCTGACTTGCTAATTGCCATTCTCAGACAAAAAACCAGACTGCAATAAGAAACTGCTGAGCTGGAATTCATATGCAAATTTGATACCCTGAAACAAGGTTTAAAATAGACACATGGAATGGTTCTCACATTATAATAGGTAATTTCCCAATCAGGTACTCTCACCTTCTCATCATTGAGAGTGATAAGCCACAGTCACTCTGATTTAATTACCATTGATGTTATCCTCCTATCTCTGTATCCCTTCCTTTTCTGTTTTCTTTCCTCTTTAGCATCTCAAGAAGTGAGTTGTATCTCACAAAAGCTTATGCCTTAATGTCCTACTAAATTTATTAGTCTTTAAAGTGCCCCTGGACTCCTTGTTTTTGCTGAAACAGACTAATGCAGCTACTCCTCTGAAACCTGACATCTCACAGTTCATTAGGGCAATAAACCGGACATCAAATAGTATACTGCCCTTCTACAACATAAGATACTGATCTAACTACTGACATTTATATATGAAATCTGCCAGTTTAAGTGATTTGTAAAATTAATAATTGTCTCATTTTCCAAAGCCTGTACAATTAACACTCAATGCATCAGAGAACTTGATTTAAAAGAAAATACAAAAAGAGTATATTTTTAAAACTCAAAACATTTCTGAAGTAGTTTCTGCAACCATGTAGCACACCAAATATGTTAATGTGGTAATATTTTTATTGGCACTTGTTTGGGATAATTTGAAATGACTAAGGGCACATCTATACAGTAAAACTCCATTGGTCCAGCATCCAATGCTCCTGCACTCCTGATGGTCCGGCACCATCGGGAACCCGGAAGTGCTCCGGGCAGCCAGACAATTGGAGCTGCTCTGCGCCCGACTTCCCGGATTCAGCCGCTGCTGAAACTGACCAGCAGCTGAATCAGGGAAGCCGGGTAGAGCAGCTACAGTGGTGGT